TTTTAACGTCATATGGTAAACCCATGACAAGGACGCTGCGCGATTGTATCGGCTGCGATGGCTCGGACGTTTGTTTACTAGTAAATCCAGATGAACTTACACACGCACTTGCTTCACTCATTTAGATACATATCAGGAGAGTCTTAATAAACAAGCTATTTGACATTCTTCTCTACTGTTTCCACAACAAGAACCGCGCTATTTGATCCTTCTCCTCTATCTATTCTCAACAAGAACCGCTCCGAGCTTCTCTGCATGTGAAATCAGACAAGACAATAGTGGAAGACATGCATCAATAGCAGCATACTGCCACAATATTGTGTACTACCAGCTAAGCCTGTCCATGACCTTTGCAATGACTTATAAGAGGAATCTTGTAACCGTAGTAAAGGCACTGTAAATGTACTACCATGTTTAAGTATTGTTTCAACCGCGAACGTAAAACATCGCAAAAATCCTTTCCTAACGCGAAATTTATCCCCCGCGAACAAAAATGAATTTACAGTACTCTCTAACCAGATGTTTAGACTTGGGCTTATTTTTTTTGGCGTGTTTTGGGCATTTTATCGTTCTTTGCTTTTTGTTCTTGGTAAATGGATACTGCCTAGCCTCTATCAGGCTTCGGGAGGCGGCTGGAAAGAGTATAATTTGGCCAAATAGAGAGATAGCATGCCAGGGGAGTTTGGTCGACTGGAGAGAACAATTTGCTGCTCCCGACCAAACTCCTTTGGCATGCTATCTCTCTATTTGGCCGATTTCTACTCTTTCCAGCCGCCTCCCGAAGCCTGGTAGAGGCTAGATACCGCCATTTCTTGCAGACACCAAATCATATGGTTCTGCTTGTACATTTGCATATGCTGAATTGGCATGGTTAAGTTCCGAAACGGAACTGTGCTCTTGCCAATTGACTAGAAGGGTATAGAAAACAGCGAAATTCATACAAACAGAATCGGTGTCATATTCCGACTTTTTGTCACATTTTCCTCTACGGTAAGGAAAAGGGAAGTATCTTCCCTTATCAGATTTTTCTGTTGTAACTTGTGTTTTGTTGTGGATTCCTAATTTTTGTTTTGTTAGCCCCACCTATTGGAAAAAGGGAAATGTTACGATGTGTTGATTTTATGTATCTTATATGTTAGCCATATTAGCAATCTTGAACAAGAGCACTTCCAGTGCACAATTATTCTTAATTGGCACTACGCGGAACACTAATAAAACGTGCATTTTATTTGAGGTTGTCTCGAAGTTTGCAATAAGTATCGCCGCTAATTTACCTTTATTGAAGCTTTCGAGTTCTTGTCTAACATGGACACAGGCGTAGAATTCACGATCAAAGAAATTTCAAATGACCAATCTTGTTCAAGAAACATGAATGGTTACGTGATCATATTACATAGGCCGTAGGGGGGGGGGCATAAAATGCAAGAGGGCATAGTTTGCTCTCTATCGACGCATGTCTAATCATGGGCGATAGGCCACCGAGTTTTTGTTGAGATCGCTGTTGCTTTGTTTTATGAACACTCGTATACTGTGCACTCCGTACAAGCTTAAGATTCCCGATAATCATACACTGAACACAAACACTATGAACACGGTCCGTTGAAAGGATCCGAAGAGTCATGAACTCAACACATAACACCGTGAACACAGTCCGTCGAAAGATTCCCGTCCCGAGAATCATACACTCATCACATAACACCGTGAACACGGTCCGTTGAAAAATTTCCCCTAGAATTCTCTGTACAATGAACCATACATATATAATACATACTGCTGGGTACTTGGTCCGCTGAATCATACAATAAAAAGCACACTCATTACTCAGCTGTTACATTGGCGTTCAGGGTAGCGCAAAGGCCGACGGGAATAGAACAGGTTTCGCAAACTCGAATGCGTTCGCAAAACCGCTGCTCGACTCGATAGAACCCCAAGCCGGGGCTAGCGCTAGCGGTGATAACTTCAAAAAGATGACAGGGTAGGAAACACCTACCCGTGAACTGCGTTACCAACTGGGGTGGCATGGGCGATAGGCCACCGAGTTTTTGTTGAGATCGCTGTTGCTTTGTTTTATGAACACTCGTATACTGTGCACTCCGTACAAGCTTAAGATTCCCGATAATCATACGCTGAACACAAACACTATGAACACGGTCCGTTGAAAGGATCCGAAGAGTCATGAACTCAACACATAACACCGTGAACACTGTCCGTCGAAAGATTCCCGAGAATCATACACTCATCGCATAACACCGTGAACACGGTCCGTTGAAAAATTTCCCTAGAATTCTCTGTACAATGAACCATACATATATAATACATACTGCTGGGTACTTGGTCCGCTGAATCATACAATAAAAAGCACACTCATTACTCAGCTGTTACATTGGCGTTCAGGGTAGCGCAAAGGCCGACGGGAATAGAACAGGTTTCGCAAACTCGAATGCGTTCGCAAAACCGCTGCTCGACTCGATAGAACCCCAAGCCGGGGCTAGCGCTAGCGGTGATAACTTCAAAAAGATGACAGGGTAGGAAACACCTACCCGTGAACTGCGTTACCAACTGGGGTGGCAGCAAAAATGTGACTTAGAATCACGTTCGGTGTGAAGTCCCTGCCTCCCCAGACTCAGAAAACAACGATATAGTACATTTTAGAGATATTGGGCACAACTACACTTTCCAAATCTCATGCCTGGGAAACATATGTAGAACTGAAAACATGTCGGTGGGGTTTGTGGACGTGTTTAGAGTACATTTACACATAGCATGTCAAGACTCTTGTCGGGTGATGTAGCCAGTTGTGTGCGTTTACATTTTAGAACCACGCGGGAAATGTGGGCCTATCGTGCGTCTGATTGGCTAGCGATGATGTCATTGACCTGTACAGCAGCGACCTGGTAACGCAGTTCGCCGGAAATTGGACTTTACAAAATGCTTCATATCTTCTTTAAAATATGGTATCATACCCCCAAAAAGTTTACATGGCTACTTAGTTACCCCTTGATTATAGATAGTATCAAGACTTGTATTTTTCTTATGGCATTTCGCAGAAAATAGGGTCTTTTGAAATGGCATTTCGCACCTAGTGTATACTAGTACTAAGTACCTAACCAAGATGAAGCGTTCGGAAGTCGCTGTTCGGCTCTCGGCAATCTTCGGGAGACTTCGGTATCTGTTCGTATGGTTCTTTGGAATCCTCATCAGTTTGTGACCGTGTACAGTGTACGTATGATTCTAGGGAACCTTTCAACGGGCCGTGTTCACGGTGTTATGTGTTATGTGACTGTATGATTTTTGGGAATATTTCAACGGACCACTGTATTGTGATGGCTACGGGCTGAATGAGCAGACACAGTGTATGTTCTAACATGCGCGAAACAATAATAAGGATTTTATTTAATGGTTTACAAAACAATGTAACGTTACATGTATTGTTAGATCTCAACAAAAACTCGGTGGCCTAGCGCCTGTGGTCTAATAGTATGCTCGGGCAGGGGCTGTTTTTCTTGTCCAAAAGCTATTGCCAGGTGCACTGAAAAGTACGTTTGATCTTCGTATTATGTTTGTGCATCATAGTACTTCGCCACAAGGAAGTAACATATTGTATGTCGAACGCACCTTGCCTATCTTTGTGTCTGTTACCGTTTCTGTTACCTACCTTTCTTTACATCAACTTCGAAGTATATCTAACGTTAAATCAATGCCGTTTCGTTTCAGAACGTTTTGAAAAGAGTTGCTTCTTCGATGGGTACAGTCAAAAGCCTACCGTAAGTCTCATATATTCATTCTTTGCCAAACATTTAAGCAAGGATACTTTCAATAATTGCTTGAAGTATTACGCAGTGGTAAAAAATGTGGCCATGTCCACATTCTTTCGAACCCGAAGCATGTTCGATCTGACGTAAATTGGAAAAGAGCGCGTGTTCCATTTGGGGTCACCCGATACTTTGCCGAACACGCCTAGCAACGGGAAAGAACACCCTAGCAACGTACCGCCGTGGGTACGCAGTAAACCCTTTCAGATCTTGTCTTTGTGAACAGGTGGCAGCCATAAACATGACTCTCTGTTGTGCTTGTGTCAATGGGAAAAATTACCAAAAATTGCATTACATCATTGTCACAGTCATCTGCATATTTTTAATGAGCACCCCCATCTTTATTTGTTAGGGTTTTCTGGACATCGCCCTGGCCGACACTGGTTCAATGACGCTGCAACTCGACCAGCTTGTGCACATGTTCACTATGGAGGAAAACTGTGAGTACAGTTATTTATTTATTTATCTATTAGAATTGCACTTCGAAATTCGAAAATGTAGGAATCTTGTTTTTTGGGGCCCACCTTGTTTTTTCGCCCTATCGCATTAGATTTGGGGTCTGCTGAGGATGTCACCCATAAAAGTTACTTGCTATGGCCTTTTACTATCATGTGCAAATCGTGTGGGTAACTTATGATAAACAATCATCTTCCCTGGGGCATGGGTTCGTGTGGCGTAGGAACGGAGGGGTCCCGGGTTCGTGTCCTGACATGCCACCGATCTTGTGTCCTTGGGAAAGGCACTTAAGAAGAATTTCCTCACTTCGCTCAGGTGAAAATGATCATTGTATTGTCCCCTGTGTTGGTGGCGGCATTAATATAAGTTGAAAAAAAAATTGACTATATGTTGGAATATTAAAAAAAAATCATATTCCCCTCCTCCAGGCACCATGATTTTCCGTTGCCCTGTACCAGGCCGCATACTGCCGGAAGATGCTCCAGAAAAAGTGTGTGAGATTGTGGACAGCGAGAACTTGCCTCTAACCACCCTGCACACACGGGTGGACTACAACAGGACCAAGTACCCAGAGTAAGTCTAACTTCTTCCAGAACTCCCCACCAGACTCCTTTTGCAGGCTGAATAAATCGTAGACATCGGTTTAAAAGGGATAATTGGCCAAAGAAGGTAGCCGGCCATCAAGGGTCCAACAGGCCGATTGGATTTATTCAGCCTGCAAAAGGAGTCTAGTGTAGACTACAGAGCTCACACAAGCGAACTGCTGTCGTCTCCAAGTAATCTCCAAGCGGATCTTTTGGTGGTCGCAAAATTGGCCAGGCAGTATCCCAAGACATTAAAAAAAATGCTAATGCTAATTAAGTTATTTGAAAAAAAAATCTTGAGCTTGAGTGGCTTCTAAGGATTACGTGTTAACCTCCTTTATCTCATTGGCGGAAACACATCCGCCAATCAGAGCTAGAGGGAAAAATTTAGGCCCACACATGTAGTATTTGGACTTCTGCATCTAACTGACTGTTAAATACAGTCAAGCAGAGCTAGAAGCGCTTGGTATCTCTAATGTAAGTCTGAGTGAGTTGCATCGTTTTAAAAGTTCGCCATGTTCTTTGCCTCCAGACTGAACAGAGGAACGTACAGTGAGGAGGGAGACCCTATCGTGGAGGTCATAGCGGTCGGCAGCATCACGAATCGGCCCATCAAGATCCACTGTCACGTCAGCAACTACACGTCAGAGGACCTCAACGGACCGGTCGGACCTGTGGACTTCACCTTCAGGATTAACGTCAAATGTAGGAGACGGTTTCGTGTTAGAACCACCCCCTCTACAGAAATCCCTTCTTCATTCACAAGTTTATCAATCAGTGTCTATCCGTAGTAATTTTTCTTGAGTCTTTCTGTTCGACTATTGTATCCTACCAATGGCAAGTTTAAGCCTCACTCTTCATGCATTTATTCATTCATTCATTTATTCATTCATTCATTTATTCATTCATTCATTCACTCATTCATTCATCTGTTTGTTCCTTCTTCGTTTTTCCTGCGTTCAATCTTTCGTCATTCATTCATTCGTCCATTCATCCAATTGTTCATTTATTCGTTTATTTGTTCATTCATTCATTCACTCGCTCATTCATTCCCTCCCTCCCACAGCCTGTCCTGAGGGTAAGTACGGGAAGAACTGTCGCCAGCCCTGCTGCTGCCAGAACGGAGCCTTGTGTCACAGCTTCATTCATTCATTTACTGTCACTCACTCACCCATCCATTCAATCATTTATTCATTAATTCATTCCCTCCCTCCTTCCCGCAGCCTGTCCTAAGGATAAGTACGGGAAGAACTGTCGCCAGCCCTGCCGCTGTGAGAACGGCGCCTTGTGCCACAGCTTCACCGGCGCCTGCCACTGCGCACCGGGCTGGACCGGAGTCCACTGCAACGAGAGTAAGACAGTTTATCAAACAGTTTTGCCTTCAGCCAAAATGTGGCGTAATGGTAGAGGTCCCCTGTTTGAATCCTGCCATTCCACCGATCTTGTGCCCCTGGGAATTTAGACTACTTTCCTTATAGGGAAAAAGAGCATTGTCCTCTGCGTTGGTGGTGGCATAAAAATAAGTTGAAACTTGGGTGCGCCGTCACCATTCTGAATCTATTGCTTTAAACATCATTGTATGTCATGTATTTTCTGCAGTCTGTGCCCCCTTGTAAAACAATTTGACAGAATTAAATAGGCCTATAGTAGCTATCCAGCTCAATGGTGAATTTACTGCCGATTCTGTGCATGTTCCACTCCCACCAATTCGACATTCCTGCCAATCTGCGGTTACGCCATTCACCCCAAGCCCTCATGATCACTTCATGTCACTCTACCGTATTCAAATACCTAGTAGTACCTATAGAAAAAACTTAAGCTAAAGAGTTAAGTTAGCCATACATTGTAGCTGGATGCTTTAAGATTCTCCTGTTGTGTTTTGATTGGTGAACAGCTAAGTCCGAGGCCGGGATCACCTCCAACAAGGGCCTGGTGGAACCTTCTTACGTCAGCGAAAACGTCACCATGACGTGCAGGGGGTACAACCTGCATGACGTCACCAACATCACCTGGTACAAGGACGGGTCAGAGGTCATCGGCAGCGACCGGATCAACGTCACAGTGAGCTACACAAATGAAAGGTACGTGTAGGAGTTTGATATGTGTATATACTGTAGCATGCACAAACATATACAAACACACATTCACACACACGCACGTACACTAAGACACACACAAAGGGACACACACACAGAAACAGACACACATACACACAGACATACACACAGTGACAAAGACACAAACACACATACGCACACACACACACACACACACACACACACACACACACACAAAACACATACGCACGCAAACACAGGCAAACATGCCTATCCTTGGTGCTGAATGCTATCCACACACACAGTTGTTATCTATATAGCTATGGCCATATCTTATTAACCTGTACTCTTTCTACCCACAGTCAGTTGCAGTCCACCATTGTCCTTCCCTACGTCATGGATGATGACGAAGGTGTTTACTCCTGCGTTGCCATGACAGAGCAAAAGGTCGAGCATAAAGCAAACAAGAGTATAACCGTTAAGGGTAAGTCTGTTTATTTGTTTTGCATAACCGGTAAACATACATGTACAAGCTGCGTAAGACCGGACTGTAAGGTTTGGACCACTCACACTGGGAAGGTCCCCTACTCTTTTCGATAAGTGCGGTGGGTTCTTTAATGTGCATGGGGTGTGGCTCTCCCCAAACACGGGACCTCCATCCAACGTCCCATCCGAGGGACGTCCCTAAGCGAAGCTAGGTACTCATGTCCACCTGAGTGAAGTGAGGAAAGTCGCGGTAGCAACACCTTTGTCACCGACGCAACGACAGCCCACATGTTCAACACACCAACATGGCGGACGCAGAATGACGTCATCGTCACGTGAGTGCCAACATTAACACACATGCGCACTTGCTCCTCTTCAGGTTGCCCGGATGGGATGTACGGAGAGCAGTGCGAGGAGACGTGCGACTGCGCCGCCCAGTCCACTTGCTACCGGTACCGGGGGTGCGTGTGTTTGCCGGGAAGGACGGGAGAAACATGTGAACAACGTAAGTACCAGATTATCATGAAAGTTCATCTCTGTTGGTAGTTACATGTTTAAAGTTAAAAATTTTGGTCCAACACAAAACGTTCTCTCACCTAGAGCTTTCGATCAGTCACTCTGGTCTTCCTCAGTAGACTGACCCAGTGACTTGACACTGTAAGGATTTTGGACCCAGACAAGACTATTTCCTGAGAGGGATGAAGGAGGCTATTTACATCAGGGCCCACCACCCTTCACTTAGCCGACATCGTCTATCAGATACCTTTGACCCAGTTTTGACATCACACTTCAAAGAAGCCACGTGACAAGCCTCACTGGGTCAGTCTACTGAGGAAGACCAGAGTGACTGGTCGAAAGCTCTAGGTGAGAGGATATAATAATTAGACATAACCATTAATAAGATAGTGGTCGTGAGGCAAATTGAACGTTCTTTCTGATGACAGTATGTGACGATCCTACTCTGGTGGAGCTGCAAGGCAAGAAGTGGGGAGAAAACTGCAACAACAGCTGTACGTGTGAGAATCAGGGCCAGTGTGACATCCAGTTCGGCAACTGTAGCTGCGGAAACGGCTTCACGGGGGAGAACTGCGAATTCGGTCAGACAATATTGTCTTTTTTCTTCAAGAATTTTGTCTGAAGTCCAGACCATGTCTTAGTACCATTATTAAAACAATTCAAACACCTACAAACACGACAAAAGTCATGATGTTTAGATGTTTAATTGTGCATGTATAAGTATTGTCATTGTACTGACCATATTTCTAGAACTAGTATGTTGTAAGCTCTATCATATCTGTATAGACTCTTACTTTAAAGTAGACTACAGTAAACTACTTTTCATAACGTAACACTCTATATGCTGGTAAAAGCACTTGCTACGTCTACCAATGACGTGGAAGAACACTGAATGGATGAGTTTTCATCTGTTCTTACTTCCAGACTGTCCGGACGGAACGTTCGGCAATAACTGTACCGAGAACTGCACATGCGCGGAGGGGGAGATTTGCAGCAAAGTCACTGGAGACTGCTTGAAACGTAACACCAACATTCTGTTTAAGTTGTATTCACGTGACTCAGTTACGAAATCTGGCTTCGTCTTTAGAATGTTATTATTCCACTGCATTAATATCTGCGTTACATATTAACCAATAACGATAGAATAGATAGATCCCAACGAAACTTAAAATATTCAGGTCACTCTTTGTGGAAATTCTGCTTGAGGATTTATAATAATATTTAGCTGAAGTTACACAGACTGCAGCTACTTTAGATTCCTATAAAAAGTCTACAATTTAAGATTATAACTCATATTTCTTCTTTGTCACCTTGGTACTCGTGACCACCTCTACATGTACCTAAGGACCATTTCAACTAATGTTTGTTTGCCACTTAGATTATTTTTCATTATCATTGATCCAGGCATTAAGGATACTGCCTACACACTGAATTTTATAGAATGTACATATGAGTAAAGATACTTTTTTTACACAACCAAGTCTTTTATTCAGCCGACGTTTCCGTGACCGTCTGTCACCTTTCTCGGGGCAATTCTGACTGGTTCACATTGCACTGTAGTACAGGTGCTATAGACGCATTCCCAACCGTACAATATTTACATATCTACATATATACGTGGTTACGAAAGACGGTCACCGAAACGTCGGCGGTTGTGGAAAAGAGTCTCTTTACTCAGTGACTTACCAACCTGATGAAAGTATTCATGAATACACACATGCCTCCCACAGAACCATCGATAGCAGACGAAGACTGGTTCATTCCTGTCATGAGTTTTGCCGGAGTTTTCGTCTTTTTGGTGGTGATCGCAATCTACCTGACTGTCAAAGTGCGCAGGCGCAAGGCAAAGAAGTACCTCAAGCTGGAAGGGGAGGAGGACACACTGGAAGTCGTGAAGGTGAGAAGGCGTCTTGGAGTATTCTTAAGTTTAAGCTTTAGAGTCTTATCTTTGGTAGGGCCTACAGAGATTTTACTTAAGTCCTGCTAATCTCTCTTTCTCTCTCCCTCTATGTTCCTAGCTCTCTCTCTCTCCCACCTTCCATCCTCCCCCCCCCCCTCTCTCTCTCTCTCTCTGTGTGTATTGTGTAACACCAAGCTTCGGTGCACAGTGAATTAGTAACAGTTAGCTTCAGTGCATAGTGAGCCAGTCATGATTGCCTTGATGAAGATGACAGACGGTCATCGAGAAGTCGTTTCTTCAAAGTTAGACGAATTAGTTTTGTGAACTTTTCCATTGAATTTAAGACAATGACGTTAAAAATCTCTCCCCTCCCAGCGCGTCGTCCAAGAAGAGAACAGCTCGTCCTTCCGGCAGGTGACGGTGGAGGAGATCCTCACGTGGGAAATCTCGCGAGAGGAGGTGCTGACGGAGAGGATGCTGGGACAGGGCGCGTTCGGGGATGTTCTGCAGGCTCGCTGGACACGCGGCGCCATGCAGGAAAGCGGGAACGGCATCACTGTGGCTGCCAAGAAGATGAGAGGTGGGTAGTGAAGGAAGGAAGGAATAAACAAAGGAAAGAAGGGGATGAATGAATGGATAGATGAATAAAGGAATGAGGGGGGGGGGGGCTGGACCCGCGGGGCTATGCAGGAAAGCGGGAACGGCATCACTGTGGCAGCCAAGAAGATGAGAGGTGGGTGGATGATAGCTTTTTAAGTTATAAACGAAGAAAGGAAGGAGGGAGGGAATGAAGGAAGAATTGTGAAAGGGAAGAAGAAGGGCCAAGAAGGGGAGTAGGGATGGATGAATGAAGGGAAGGAAAGAAGGGATGAATGAAGAAAGGAAAGAATTTACGGATGGATGGATGAAGGAAGAAAGAAAAATGCAAGAAAGGAAGGAAGGAAGGAAGGAAGGAAAAAGAAAGGAAGATAGGACACAAAGAAATGCTATATGGCATTACCGTGGTCATCTAGATGTTAAAACCTAAATCTGTATCTTGCATCTTTTAGATTTGTTCTTTAATTCAGTGTATAAAAATTGCTCAAGACTTTCGTAACTTGTCTAAAGACTCTGTTGTTCCTTGTGTTACAGACTGCTCCTCTACGAAGGCCGTCCGTGACTTCCTGAAGGAAGCCTATCACCTCATCAACATAGGCCATCACCGCAACATCGTCAACATACACGGCATCTGTCTGCAGGAAGGTTAGTACCGTGCACAACCCCTCTGTATTTCCAGCTGTAGCTATAAGACCCCTATAACTTTATCATTTCACCAGGTTTCTTTGGGGTGAGTTCAAGCCTTGGAAATAATTTGCCCGTGAAGTAACCATAACGTAGCCACTTCAATCGTTTAATGGGTTGATATCATACACACAAACCCAACAAACTGACTGGGATACAGGTCAACTAGCTGTGCTAACAGTCACAATACAGATGCAGGGACTGGGTTAGCTTGGAATAAATTTATTGCATCATCAGCAAAAACGTCATGGGTGAATAAGCAATATTATATGATAATACATGTCATGTATCAGTTACAATTCTTAAACATATCGACAGCAGCAAACTACACATTTTTGTAGTTCGACTTCTACACTATGGTTAGCCTTAGTTGTAAAGATTGAGAGCAACTGCGATGTTAACTTTGGCAGCGACATATGTGTAACGATAGGACATTATTGCTTTTACTATATCGACAATCGGTTATACTTTGCTACATGATTTGTTAGTTGGGTAATCAGGGTAAAGAATTGACCTTACATCATGGTAATGACCCGGCGTTAGAAAGGTTAAAGTTCAAACTTACTATGTCCTGATTATCCAGCTAACAAATAGAATATATTGGACAAACTTTATCTGAAAACGCGTGCACGCGGATTTTCATTAAACCTCGGTGGGCGAATCTTCTAACACGTAGCGAAGATACCAAAACTCGTCCGTCTCTCTGCTAGTGTCCAATGACGTCACTATCTGAGGCACGCCGTCGGCTACACTTTGTCTCCTGCCCCCTCCTCTCGGCTTTGGTTTCGCCCGGCCTTGTTTGGGTAGTCTGTAGCAGACCCCGTCGCTACAGAACTCGCGTTCGCTGCAGTCCCCCACGTCGACGTCGCAGAACATTTTGCCTTTATTCATGCGTTTCTTGGCGTTGAAAGAGTGTCTCTTTGGAGCGAGCAGGCAAACGTCGTGTCTTATCATCTGTGGAGAACTCGGCAAAGACAACGACTTTGGTTGTTGCACTTCTGGTAGCTTGGGGACCGAAGATACCTTCTTAGGTCTTCCACTACCTGGAAGAGAAACCGGGGGAGACGAAGACTTAGCTCCTTCGCTGTGCACTCTGTAATGTTCAGACGGTGCCTGCGTGTCACTGGCTGACCGGCCGAGCTTTCTGTATTGTTTTGGAACGGTTCGTCTGGGGCTAGGCGGTGGAGAAGGTTCAGGGCTTGAGAAGCTTCCGTGTCCACTGCTTGCAGAGCTGATAGTATCTCGCCCAGAAAGACCTTTTCTGGCTCTTAGCGTGAAACTAGGAGTATCAGGAGAACTGTTGCTGCGTATCCATGGGTGTAGGAAGTCTTTTTCTTCATCAGAGGAGGACTGTGTTCTTGTAACGTAGGAAGGAAGCGGTGAGCCTGATTCTGATCTGCAAGACAGCTGTCTAGTCAGGCGCCTTCTAGAGTTGTCAATGCTTGTTGTAGCTGTGTCCAGCGATTTTGTCAGTCGACCGCGCAGTATGTGTGTATCGTTTTGCTCACAACTTAGGTACTTTCGTGTCTCCGAGTCCCCTTTGTTTCCTTTGATAGCCTGTTTTCTTGTCAAGAGGTTCTCTAAAGATTTGGAGAGTTTTTTCTGTTCCCTCCGAAGGTCCGCCATGATGTTCGAATGTTCTTTCGAGAACCCTTCCATCTTTCTGTCGTGGCTGTGTCTCTCCCGCGCCTGCGCGACTAGAGCGGATTTGGTGGACACGACGGGTTTCCGTAAGCCGGGAAAAGCGCCCTCGGCGTGACTGGTTATCCCGTCCATCCTCAATCCTTCTCCTGCAAAAACAACATGAAATGGAAGATTTTAATATGTCGTTAAATATCTATATAGTTGATGTGAATTTCTTGTAATATTTTGCATCTGTATACATTTTCCCACTTCTCTAAGGTAATAGACAGGAATATAGCTAGGAAACAGAAGATAAGAAATGAGATAAACTTTGTATCATTTAGTTCCTCTCAGCCTCAACCATTTAGACTTCCAATTTGAACTCCCTACCTGCCACTTTACTGCGTTCTAATACATTTTGTACCTACAAAATCGAATTTAGCGACATAACGTTGACAATTCTATCCGTAAGTTATATTTTGTGTCGTCCTAAATCCATTGGTAAAGCCATACAGGTTTCATTTGATTTTCATTCCTTTTCTCAATCGAAGATAATTTTAGACGCAGGTTTACATCCAAACTGCTGGAGACTAGAAAATCCTCCTTTGTTCTTTATCTTTAATTATTCCGCTCTATAAAAGACAGACAACGGTTTCAGTAATTAATCCACCGGATATAGAAAACCCCGGAGATGCCTGCTGCGATCAACAACAGTAAGATGATATCTGTTCTGTTTGTGTCCAAAACAAGTGGGTTATTTTTAAACCGGTATAATAGTCAGTACATGGGTTTGGCTCATAAAGCTGAGGTCTCATAGGAATTGGGAAATACTTGTAGCTCGCCTGATTTGGAGTCTACGAACCCTGAATGACATTTTGGGCAGAAATATGGCCCGTGTCTTCTCGATTAGAGTGCGATTTTAGAGATGGGCCGTTGTTCGTAGGTTACTGAGCCCCATCCAATGTGGCAGGGTATATTATCAGGCGAAAAATATAATTGTCTCTCTGGCAATTTTAAAATTCGTTGACTAGGTCTGGCGATCAACAAATTCGGCCGAATGTCGATAGGCTTAAATACAAATGACGTTCGGATATACTCGTACATGGATTTGGAAACGCTGGAACTTATTTCAGCTCGTTTTTAGTAAAAAGTTTTCCTGTATGTCCACGCAATTTCTCGCTGATTGAAGCTATAGCGGAGGCAACTTGTAGAGTCCTGAACATTGGAAGGGCCACTAGGGGTCTATCTAATTATGCTATTAAAGAAAACACATATTTGCTACACAAAACTCTAGACGTCCGCACAGCCAAAAATAGCAAATCGTCCCAGCTCAGAAAGGTAAACACCTTTTCTCTGTGACCACACGAGCGTGGATGTTTGTTCTACCGGCCGCGCTTCAGTTAACTCAATTCAAAACTGTGTTGGCAGAAATTTGTAAACGTCATGGTGACGTCAGTGATCCTACCTACGTATGTTTCTCTTGTTAATAAAATATAAGGGAAAATAACAGTTGTTCGAATGAACTGAAGTAACCTCGAGTCGTTTTGCCAATCTTTTGCGTCGCTTTGTACATACGAGATCTCTCTCTCTCTTTCCAGTTATTCTATAGTGAGGATAGAAGATTAGAATGTATGATAACACTACAAGAAGACTTGAAAAACAGCTGAAAATTTGTTTATGCCTCCTTTCAACTAGACACGTACGTAGAGCTACAGTACAGCAAACAACATTAGATTTTTGTGGCCCTTAATTTGATAATTGAAACATAACACATGTTGTGAATGTATGATTCACAAGACAACAAAACAAACAAACCGTAAAAATACCAACTTTTGCCTCTGAAATTCGCCTCAGCCTCTAGTGGTAAAAGTGTAGCAGGCACTAGGACAATGGTCCCCTCTCATCCTATAAAACCGTCGAGCAAATAGGTCAACAGCTCTAGAATTTCTGCCTTATTGTATGATGGAGAAATAGTGTTCTTGTTTACGGTGGCTCGGATTTCTCTGTTATCCCACCTGCACATGCAGGTTAGTAAATAAAATTGTAGAGCTGTGCATGTATTCCCGATGTCTACCTGCACCTAACCTGCACTTGTCCATGAATTGGGTATATAACTTTATGACGATTTTGTTTGTAGTACCAACAAAGAAATGAAACGGTTTCTTCAGTTTCCAGTTTGATCCATACTACATAACAACATTTGTTTGTTTGTTTTTTCATCTAAGTGGTGCAGTTAAAAGTTATCAGGTACAGGTAATCTGACAAGTATTTCGGGCCCTGTATATGTATCCATACCATAGGACTGTATGAGTGCACATTGATCAAACATTGTAATTGTTTGTGTAATGGCCAAATCTCGCTCGCTTCCAACATACTTCATGCAATCCACGCAACAACTATGTGTAGATAGTTGAAACCGCTGTTCGTTACGCACGCTTGGTTGAACGTACCTCCGTGAGTACCGATTTTACACGGTTGGATGCGCTCATTCTCTCCACAAGCGATGTTTACGTGTTGTTGTGGTCGTCGTCTGTGGTAACTCAGAAGCATTTATTTGGTTCATCGGTTATATTTTTCAGTTCCCGACATGTTCTCGGTAATTATCTCAGTAGGTTTTAATTGAGATGAGGTGATTATTTCCTTAATTAGACCTGCATGGTTTTTGATCCAGGATGTTTGGGCTTTTCGTGTCTTTCTTGTTTACAAAAGAGTTTTGGAAAATCGATCGGACGTTTCTTCGACAACACTTGAAGAAATTCTTGATGGAATTACGTTAAGCCTATTTCACGTACTCGGCAAATCTATTAAGAAGAGGTCGATGTCATTTAAGCTGAGAAACTTTGTAGGGCAGTACATTTGTTGTTGTTATTGTTGTCATTTGATATATTCTAATGGTTTGTAGTAATGGATTAGGGATAAGAATTTGGGAGGTATTTTCATAAAGCTAACCGTTGGTACACCAAATGTCCAGTTGAATGGAAACACACAATAGTTTTCAGACTTACTACTCATGCACACTTGCACTCCTTTAAGAAAAAGCATCGGCAAAATAAAAGGGTATTCATCTGGAAACAGTTACATACAATGTGCACGTACGAGTGTTTGTTTCTATAGATTTCTATCGAAGCGTAGAGCCTGTTTTCCATGTAAACATTACGTCGGAATGTTGACCATACTGTCCTCATCAACATTAGCACACTAGTATTATGTTTGCTGACTAACTACTAATGTCTATTTGTAAGACGAGAGCAAATCAGCTATCTTTATATCAAGAATGATTTCCGTTTTGTTAGTAATAATAAAATGGCTCATTTGCACTAGTGACATGCAACATGTTTCTGAGTGCGCGAATAAAAAGAGAAGGAAATAAACACTCAAAACTGCCATAAAGGACCAGTATAGGCTGTTCTATCAAGCCAAGAATATTCTGTGTCCTAATAATTTATTGGGCTTGTTCTTATATTAATGGTTTGGTGTCAATCTTTAATTGAGTGTCGCTAATTTCACTGTCTAATACCACAATTACGGCGTTGCCTAGATAAATAAGTATGATTGTAAAAAATGCAGCTTAATCGATGATGTTAATCATTTCAGTCTGTCTCTGAGCAGATAGATGAATTAACATAAATTGTCTACACGGAAAGATTTTAATCCTAACGCTACATTCGGAGACAAACCGTGACCTTATTTAACCCGTAGCATCATTTTTCAACACAGTTTAAACAATGGTCCCGTTCACAGTACGTGTCACATTTGAATCTCACTAGGCCCGGCAAATATGTTCTTCGTGAATATTCCGAACACGCCGAAGTCTTGTTTGTATAAATGACGCTGCTGCATACATACATACTCTCTGTACGTAAAACCGTCTGCGGACAAAACCACCATTGTTGTAAGAATTTGAGTTGAACACAGCTAGATCTTCTGTAAAAAGAAACTATAAGCTATTATATAGCCTTAATTCTTACCTTTGGCGCTTGTAAGTCCGATGTTTTGGCGTACGGATAGTTGCGTTGCTTCTTTACCTTTCACTACTCAACTCTCCATACTGTAAAGAAGTTGGAATTCAACCTCAGACATGACTATGCACCCAGGCACTGTCCGGTCACATTTTTCGTACCACAGGTTTGCGACGGTGAAAGTCTTAGAGCATTCGTGGTACAGTCGTAGACTTGTCGTACGAATTTCAGCTGCCTTGACGTGGGAAAGGTTGTCGATGGTCCCTGCAGACGGTAGCTTCTGTCGTAGCCTCCCTGTCGAAAATCCAACGACGAACACACAGTAACGTGTGACGTATGCTCCTATATAAAGTCCTTGACGTCTGTGACCACACCTGATATTTCTAGTCACAGCGTGGCACAAAGGACGACTATCCAGAACTTTTAGTGTTAAATGAGGGGTCACAGATAATACGGAATGACAGGGGAGCTCACACTGACAATCCTTCCGGCTCTGACCGGGGCTGGAGTCGGACAGGTGGTCAGGCACGGCCGGGTAATTATGCCTTATCAATCATTGAAGCTGCTTATTCAGGGATCAGTCCGTCCGTGTGTTTGTGATAACTTGTATCCCCCGGGGACGCACGTCATGCGGATAGAGTTACCGGCTACTGAGCGTTGTTTACTTGTATCTGCACGGCTCAGCGGACACATAATGGATGGAGAGTGCGCACGCATCCGGACACTTTTTATTCGATCATAGTTCCATCGTGTTTTCGAACAGTTGTTCGAACGTTCGGGCGTCTGTTCGATAATTCGTGCGTCTGTTCGATAATTCGTGTGGTTGTTTGATCATTCGAATGTTTGTTCGATCGTTTCTTACTTCCATCGTTGGTTCATTTTGTCGAGTAGCAATCTTTGAACATAATCTTCAAGCAGATGTTTGAAGCTTCTATTGTAACGTTATCTGACTGTCATGAAGTTTCCTGCCCTTGCCCTAAATATACAAACAGGAAATGTCGCGATATTTCTTCCAAGATCTTGGCGATTCAGACGCTGTACACAAACGTCAAGCTTATTAGGGATTTCTGGTATTGTCCATTGCTGCAAAGTTTAAGCAGTTTATCAGAAATCATATCGAGGGCGCTTCTGACATGCAACATACTATGTAACGTTATATCACTGCCGTTAACGTTGTGTATAGAGAAAGCGCCACGGTGCTTTAGTAGGCTAAGTTTTAAAAGGAGCTACTAATCGCCGGCCTTGTATCTAAATCAGCCTAAATCTCGTAATCCGAAAATCACCAACCATCTGAAATATGCTAAGAGATTTTAGCTAGAAAGGAAGTTTTAAAGCCGCAGGGCACTTAGTGGTATTTACTACTAAGTTACATGCTTTTAATGGTCCCTTTGAAGAGTCCGTAACTTGCAAACAGCAAGGGTCCCAAAACATGTAATTATAAGTCGTATCTGTTTTTTTTAATCTTTGCCATATCCGCACAGGGACGTAGAAATGGTCACTCGCCCGAGGGTCTAGGTGAGTTTTCGCGACATCTTGTCCCAACAATGTCTCTTATATCTCCTATCTTGTACCCGTCGCAAGTCAAACAGGTTTCGCATGGTATGCAAAGTTAATGATTGTGCTATCAAAGGAGATCTGTGACACACTTTCTCTCCCTGCCATTGTCTTTAGGCGTACCAGACAACAGGTTGTTCGCAATCTTGTCGCCCTGGGATCGCCCTACCCCGCCCCCTAATATCATTACATCACTACCAGAACTTGCATGCGATAAAAAAAGAACCAGACTGCCTGGTAACTCAAAGAAACAAAAGGCTGTTCTTGTTTCACTGAACAGTGACGTTAGAATTAACTGTCAATTGTGCGTTATCAAGTTTGTATCTATAGCTTTAGCTGGTACTGGAATAGTGTTTGTGCTGGAGTTCTGAAAACTAGACTACATGTGCCAGTTCATGATAACAAACGTTTACCATTTTCCATCCCTCTAATGTTGGTACTGGTGGGAGTACTGTGAGCACTGGTGCATGCTGGGCTACAAATTTAACACTGAATTTGTCCCATTTTTAGGCCCCCTGATGCTGGTTCTGGAGTACTGTGAGCATGGGTGTGTACTGGACTACCTCTGGGAACTTGAGAAGCGAGGGCGGATGGAGACCATCATGGACCCCTCCAAACCGCTGATGATATGGATCTCAAAGCTTACAATCAAGGACTAACAAGTGTTAACACTGAGTTTGTCCCATTTACAGGCCTCCTGATGCTGGTACTGGAGTACTGTGAGCACGGATGTGTCCTTTATTATAGCCATGTCCTAAAGCATGCTAACACATTTGCACATTTTTCCAGGCCCCCTGATGCTGGTTCTGGAGTACTGTGAGCACGGGTGTGTACTGGACTACCTGTGGGAGCTGGAGAAGCGAGGGCGGATGGAGACCATCATGGACCCGTCCAAACCGCTGGTGTCTGATATGGATCTCAATGCTTATAATTATGGAGTAACAAGTGTTAACACTGAACTTGTGCCATTTTCAGGTCCCCTGATGCTTGTTCTTGAGTACTGTGAGCACGGGTGCGTTCTGGACTACCTGTGGGAGTTAGAAAAGCGGGGGCGGATGGAGACCATCATGGACCCGTCCATGCCCACGCATGATAATCATTTGATCTCAGTGCTTACAATCAAGGACTAACAAGTGTTAACACTTAACTTGTCCCATTTCCAGGCCCCCTGATGCTTGTACTGGAGTACTGCGAGCATGGCTGTGTGCTGGACTACCTGTGGGAGCTGGAGAAGAGAGGCCGGATGGAGACCATCATAGACCCTTCCAAACCCCCACATGATATAGATCTAAATGCTTACAATTACGGACTAACAAGCGTTAACACTGACTTTGCACCATTTCCAGGCCCGCTGATGCTGGTACTTGAGTACTGTGAGCACGGCTGTGTGCTTGACTACCTGTGGGAACTTGAGAAGCGAGGGCGGATGGAGACCATCATGGACCCTACCAAGCCGCTGGTATCTGCGGAGGAAGGACAGAAACTCACCGGGTACGCTGTGGACGTGTGCAACGGGCTCAAACATCTGGCCAGCAAACGGGTAAGTTCTCTTTTCTCTATGTAACGTTATACCTATTTAATGATTTATCTATTTAGTGATTTGTCTATCTACCTGTCTACCCATCTATCCATCCATTCATTCATCCATCCAACCATCCATCCACCCATCAATCCATCCATCCATCCATCCATCCATCCATCCATCCATCCATCCATCCATCCATCCATCCATCCATCCATCCATCCATCCAACCATCCATCCATCCATCCACCCACACACACACCCACCCACCCATCCACCCATCCATCCACCAACCCACCCACTACGCCGAAGGGCGGTGTTACCGGCTATACAGATACAGATACAGACAGGGTTAGACAGTATTGTGTTGTTTCTGAGTTGCCCAGTGTTCCAGTATTAGTTTGTTTGGTAGTTGAACGGTGTTGCTTGTTCCATTGCAGTACGTCCATCGCGACATCGCCGCCCGTAACGTGGTGATTCATGGGAAGGGCATGGCTAAGATCTGTGACTTCGGCCTGACCAGGGACGTGTACACCGAGATATACACCAAACAGGGGCTGGTGAGTTCTACATTGAAATGATTGATCAATTCTATGCAACGTAATCTTAAAACACACTTGACAAACTTACTCAAACCATAGAAGAAAAAAAATAATGCTCCTTGCGGGTTGCAGTCCTTTGGACGGAAAATTAAGCTGTGGTCCTCTGTTATTTGAGTATAGCGAGGTGGCCTGTTGCCCAGGCTATTTTAGCTGTCAAGACTGTCAAGACATAGTTTTAGAGCTAGAGATTTTTTCAGCAACAATCCCGGCATATTTGTCAGTCTTTTCTGTTCAGAATTTCACTATTGTTCTGTTTCTCCTGAGCAGAAGGACGCCACCCTGCCGTACAAGTGGATGGCCATCGAAAGTCTGGAGGGAGACGGAGAATGCACCCACAAGAGTGACATGTAAGTCAAAACAAACAAACAAACAAACAAACAAACAAAAATAGATCAAATTCTGATATGACACTTATGCTGTAACCACTGCTGCAAAAGCCGTCCAATAAATTCAGGATTCAGTGGTTTTTATGCCCTGTTTGATCGTAAAGGTCATCCTATTACTTGCTGACAATGTTGTCAAAGTTGTAAAACTTAAACAACGTACTCTTTTCTTACACAGGTGGTCATTTGGTGTATTCTTGTGGGAGCTTGGAACTCTGGGTAAGTTGTATGGATCATCTCTCTTAATATGCCAAGTACATTTCGTATCATGATTTTCATTTAGAGATTATCTATAACTGGAAAATGGAATTTTTGATGGTGAACATGGCCTTGGTGTTACAAAATGTCAAAGTTTATACTGCTTCTTACAAGTGGAGCATGAAATAATGATGTTTTACTCATGTAGGTAAAACCCCGTACCGCGGCATGGACACAGCCTTCCTGGTGGAGGAACTGCACACCGGCTACCGACTGCCCAAACCGAAGGGCTGCCCTCAACTGCTGTGAGTTCAAATACTTCACTAATCACTAGCCTTTTCTAACCATTCCGTAATGAAGAAGACCAAAACCACTATGACTCTGACAACTTTCCATCTTACAAAAAACTTAAACAGCGAAGAAGTAGACAATCGTCAAATGGCAATCTATATGAAAGGCATTCGACAGATTGTTTTTAATTTTATTTAATCAAAACAGAGAGATAGACGGGGAGACAGAGAGAAAGGCACAAATCCCACCGCTGCCGATATACGGGGACTTAGAATGACGGGCTTGACAAAACGAGTTCACGCCCCAGACTGAAACTTTTATTGTGTTTAATCCAACACAGATGTTTTGGTCCCCAACACTAAGACAGAGCTTGCTGAAAGAAATCTTTGCCGTCCGTAGGATAAAGGTTTATGCTCTGAGGCCTGACGACTGAATTGTTCCCCACAGGTACGACCTGATGTTCAGCTGCTGGCAGGAGGACCCGGAAGCGAGGCCGGAAGCTCTGGAGATCTGGAAGAACCTGGTGGAAGTCAGGGACGCCAAAACGGTAAATAGTACTTTCTCTTTTCTTCTTCTTCTTCATCTAAATGAATGGTTACTCAATATAAGTGCCACACAGCCAGAGGCTGAATTGTTTTACGTATCACTCACAGTCACTATCGAGTAAAAACCGGACAAAGCTCGACATAGTAAGAGTCCAGATTCACACCAATTAATACATAGTTCCATAACCTGATTTAAGTACATGTGTCACCTACAAATATCTGCCAAAGTCACGAACACGATAAAGCATTGGTATCATAAAGTATATATACACTGTAGTTGTAGCACATCATATTTCAATAGGTGTACAGATGAGCTTATCTTTGCAATGTATTCCTCCTGCAGGGCTTCTTCAGCTACGTGTTTCAGACTCGCGCTATCGCCGATACACCAGACTTCACCGACTCACCGGTACCCGAGTTTACCGACACACCTGACTTCACCGACACACCTGTCCCTGACTTCACCGACACACCTGATATTGCGGACATCCCTGATTTTACCGACACACCTGACGTTGCGGACATACCTGACGTGGCCAACGTACCCGCTATCGCTGCTGTGCCTGCCGTTGCTGATGTGCGCTCTGGTCTGGGACCGGTGTCGCGCCTCGTGCCTTACACGGGACACCCAGATGTCCATCAACGCGTTATGGACGTCTCCGAGGTGTAGAGAGGGAGAGAGGGAGAGAGAGGGAGAGAATGAGAGAGAGACAGAGAGAGAGGGAGGGAGGGAGATAGATGGATAGGGAGTGAAAGAATGAGAGGGAGAAAATGAGGGAGAGTGTGTGAGAGAGAGAGAGATAGAGGGAGATGTGGCACTAACATACTCTCCAATCAGCCTGTTTTCCTGTTTTTTAAGAAGCATTTTAGACGTTTTGTTGGGATTTCTATTTCTTTTTTCTTTATTTCCTAGCCAGGATAAAAAGGGTACAACCGATTTTCTAAAGATCCGAAAACGGGTCTTACCTCTGCCTTAGGAGTAGTATTGGCAGTGATCTTGTCAATCAAGAATATGTATATATCCAAATAACGTTAATTACTAAGACATGCTCTGCAATAGACAAAATTGGATCACTTGAATGTATGTGGTTTGCCGATGTTGTTTTGAACACAAAGTCAAAGAGGCTAATCTGTGCACAATAGTAATTGTGACATGCCTTGGTTTGATATTTGGAATCAGTATTCAGCTTTATATTGCCATTTGTTCAAGAGTGTAACTTTTTGAGCAGAAAATATATGTTGTAGGTTAGTTTATATTTCATATCATATGAAACTGTTGTATTGTACTGCAGACTAGTCATGAGTATAGCGAGAGCTTTCAAAGATCCCCGCTATATTATGCACGCATTTGTGTGAGGTTTAAGTCTGTATTTGTTGCACAGAAATGCTGCTTTTATCATGTTTGCAATACGAAACAGTGCCTTGTACGTTGTGCAGTACGACAGTTTATAACGTTTTGCATATCCATGTTTATATTATTATAATGTAATGTGACTTGTTGACAATTATTCAGGAAACGTGACTGTATATAAAGGAATATATAATACCACCAGAAATCAACTTGTTGTTGCAATTTAACTAGCCGAGCAAGATATTAACAACTATAGTTGGGTTGATATTACTTGTAAATATTTATCCTCATTATAATAATAATACTTGCTATTTTACCTTGTCGTGCATGTGTACAAGGTTGTCATTGGCGTATATATCCATTATTTGTGTAGAATTGCAGTGTTCCTGCAAAGGATTGAGTGACGTTTTATTGCTGAAACTGATATAATCGTTTGGCTTTATGTTACGCCAGGTTGTACATTATTTCTATGGCCTTCTCCATGTTTGACCAATTTTTCGTTGCTGTGTCAGAACTGTTTGTTACTTTCCCACATTATATTCGGGAATAAAATCTTATCTTTTTCGCAAGAGTTGCGATCGTAAAATGATCTGTCTCACTGTCTATTTATAATATGTAAGATGAAGGCCGAAAGATGCCAGGAAGTAGATTTGAAAAAAAAGAAGGACATTGTGATATCTGTATAGTTAATGCGACAATGTATGTTTAATCAGGTAATCAAAGTTGACCTATCAGGCAAACAAAGTTGACCTATACGTGACCTTTGTCAAGGGTCAACCAAGCCAAGCCGCCTCCTCCCTCTTCTTTAGCATACTGTCGGAGCGTCCAGGAGCCGAGGACAACTTTCAAGTGATATACAGGTACCATTTCTATCTAAAACACCTAGGTTATCCTGTGAGTGACCTAAGAAATGAGGGAAGGGCAGGGACACGGTACGCAGGTTCAATGGTGTACGCAGTTCTCGACTGCCGAACACCAGAGCAGATAGAGGTCAACTTTACCACCGCTTTACCGCCTGATTACCCTACTACTAGTAAACAAAAGCCGGAGGACCTTCAGGTCATGAAAGCTCCTTGTTCAGGTCAAGGTTTGTTTTTGTTCTTCTTTCAATAGCGAGCTTTATACCCCCCAGAGATGAGTATGTAAGCTCTATTCTAATCAGTAAGCTTTCTAATTACGCCTGACCCTGAATTACGCCTGAATTATTACAGGCTAGTGCAGTTTATTCGGTCACTTCTGCACTACCGTTCTGCACTACAGTTCATTGTACGAGTACTAACAGTGTTCTAGCCCATATGAACATAAGCAGACTCAATGATTTCTTGGGTCAACTTCGTTTATTCTTGCTTGTTTGTTTGTTTGCTTTTCGTAACACATACGTCACATACACGACTTGACACTGACATTAGGACCGTACACACACGTTTACATGTGGACACCCGGTATTGGTGAAACTGTCATTGAGTGAACTGCTAGTGTTGTTTTGAAACATTGATGCGATACTTTCCCTTGGCTCCATTCAAAAACATCAGCTGTTAAAAATTATTTCTCTGTATTTCCTTTGAAATAGTATTATAGCATATGATACACGTAAATCACGCCTTGTTTACCTACTGAATATGTATACTGTTAGTAGTGATTTGTAGAGAAGTTTGGGTACTTTCCATTATACCACTGTGACAACAATAGTGCACATTTTTGCATTGCAAAATTAGAAATGGCTCTCACCCACTACACATCTACAGACAGGGGCCCAATTAAGCTTTCCATCGTAGAAGTTCAACTTAGTTCAATTCAACAAGCTTCACAACACAAAAGCTAACTTTTTACAGGTCTGGAATACTACTTTGTTCCTAGTTCAATGATCGACCATGGAATGTATGTTTACAAGAAATGTCCATCTTATGTACACTTAGAGCAGCACGGTAGAAGTCGCTTGAAGCTTCTACGGAACTTCCTGGACATGAAGTTATAGCAGAGCGGGTTGAGGCAGCTGTTCAGGTAGGTTAGCAGGCGGAAGGCGATTCTCATGGCATAGACTTCCTGGGTGTACACGTTGACCAGGCCGAACGTCACCAGCACATTTAGGACGACGTGTGGGCCCCAGCAAACCAGGAATAGCAGGACTACTGTCAGCATCATACGAACTACCTGTAAAAGAACGGCAGAAAAACTTGTGAAGTTAACGTTATTGAATGAACTGTATGTTTGTCGTTTATATTAGGTCTGGGTCGCCGAACGTTACGCTTAGAACGACGTGTGGACCCCAACAGACCAGGAACAGCAGAACTACCGTCAGCATCATTTGGACTACCTGCACAGGAACGACAGAAACGTCTATGAAGGTAACAAACTGTTTATTTGCTCTAAATGTCAGATGAGGTGTTTTAGATTTAATGATGTTTATAGTAACTGAATGTACACTTATCAGAAGAACCACTGTCATCTTCGTTCTGATAACCTGGAAAGGAAAAACGTTGACAGAAAGGTGAGATGGAAATGTTGATAAAGCTTAAGATATACCACACACTGACACTGTATTCACTTTTTTTTGTGAATGCCTCAAATGGCGCATGGCTATAGTAGTTAGTAGGGAAAAAAAGAAGCTGAAGGTATTCGTAGAGTGTAGAACATAAAGAATAGGAGTGGTTTCAAGCAAATAAGTTAAGGAAAGCCTTATTCTTGCTTGCAATGTTCATAAGATGGATTGCATACCTGTTTGCGTTCGCGGATGATCTCTTGAAAGTTGGAGACCGTCCCTTGCACTCGCCTCCGCGCGTTTCGCCGTGCCTCCAATGAGCAGACAGATCGTGATCTAACGGCAAGGGGAGTGGGCATCGTGCCGCTTGTACGCTTTCTCCCTGGTGTCGCGTTGTTCACATCGTTTTCTTGGTCAAGGTATTTTTCCACTGTCTCTCTGTCGAAGACAAAACGGCTCGGCTTCCTTCGGGCGGTGTTACTTGGTGTTTTCTCCCCTTCCTTGCTTGACGACGCCACGGCGGCTTCGGTCGAGATCGGGGTCGTTCGGGACTTGTCGGCAGAACTCGGCGTCATTCGGTCGCTTTTTGATTGCGTCAGAGACAGCGAGGAATGTTGTCTGGGCAAACTGGAAAAAAACACTCGTAAATAATGTCATCAGGTTGGTAAACGAATGAATAGCAAAGTTCTTTGATCACAACCATTTATTTTTTTACGAGCCGACGTTTCGATGACCGTCTGTCATCTTCATCAGGGCAATCTGACTGGTTTGCTGTGCACTGACGCTAGATGTTACTTGGTGCACACGTGCACTAAAGGTGTTACATGGTTCACAGTGCACTATTACTTGGTTCACAGTGAACTTAAGCTAGTTTTTACTGTTAACAATGCATTTCCGAACGTAGTGCAATTGTGACATACACAGGCATTGTTACATCTGCGGTTCCAAAAGTTTTTCTATAGATAATATAAAATTTGTTAACTAACAATACTGAGCTATCGCAGTCCCAAATAGAAAGTATTGTTAAAGTATTGTCACATACGTATGGGAGCAAACGTTGCACGAGCTACAGTCGAAGTCCCGCTGTATAGTCTGTGTGCTGAACCACAGCTTGTAGATCGTAGAGCTGTACGCTACCAGCATGATGAACATGGGAAGGAATATCAGCGTCGCGAAGTACGCTGAGAAGATCTTCTTGTAAGAGGGCTCAGGCCACTTTTCCTGGCAGTGGTAGATTGTGCCGCCCACCGGCCATTTGTAGCCGACCAGCCGCTGGAAGTGAAGTATTACACCATTGAGCCATGAAATCTCTGATTGAATAGCATATAACATACAAAAACCACAGAACTCTGAAACATTTACAAAGGAACAGTTATCCTTAATGTTTAAAGGCGTACAGAGAAAGACAGACCACATCACCCTGCATTAAACATGCTAAATGGATGAAGGTTGAACATGCAGATAATAAGATACTCAAGATAACAGTTACTCAATTTAAGAACCTGGATAGATCGTAGAAATCTATAAATCTATCCAGTTGCTTGAGTAACTGTTACCTTGTGCGAGCGCGAGCTAAAGTAGTTTCCTAACGTTTGCCTCATATTTGCTTTACGTAAATGACAAAGTACACGTCTATCTATCCTTAAATATCTTGTCCTACCTGTGCATAAAGTGTGGGCGCGCTGAGTGACAGTGACAGCATCCACACGCACGCGATGACGCGGTAAGCCCACCCCGGGGTGCACACAGACCGGGCGTGCATCGGCCGGATAACCACGTACCATCTGAGGGTACAACAGCACGCATCTATATTCTTAAAGGCACCCAATGCGATTTCAAGGTAGCAAATCTGGAAAAATTCTGAATGAGGCAATCTTTGTGATATTGGCACATACTGCTACACATTGGCTCATTTGAGTCAGCATTTCATACTTTGGGCTTATAAAACTGCAGAAACAAGCCCCATTTGAAGATGAGTCCGTTATTTTCTGGGCGGTACACTTTTCCGTCAGAATTTGAGGAATTTTGCTTGAGAATCCTCTGCACTGGGAGCATGTAATGGCTAATGCACAAAGTGGCCAACAGAACAGGGGCTTAGGATTAAGGTCATAGCTCTTCTCAGAGTTACTCAAGTTTACCTATTGTCCCAGTACTGATGGTGTGATCTGAGTGCTTAAGATAGGTCCCCAGAAGAGAAAACGGTGCTATCTTAGGGCATACACTGTACTTTAGGATAAGTCGTCCGCAGAAAGACTGATTTTCGTAGCAGCGATGGTGTTACGGCTTGCCATGAAAGTCATTTTCGCAGCAGTGATGGTGTTTAAGAATTGTGTTTGACGTAGATGGCCAGACGGAGAAGTGTTTCTTCTCTCAATGCTGATGTTTTCCTGAAGGTTAAGTATGTCGAATATAGCACATTTCACCGCAGTTATGGTGAAGTTAGATGGACATTTTTGCAACTCTCCCAGAATTACGTCAATTTTATCGTCTTCACCAGGGAATGTTGTCTGAAAAATTTTCTGTTTTCTTAACTGACCTTTCCAAAGAAGTGGCAATTAGGCAGTTATACTTGTTTGCAAATCTCAAAGACGTCTATCTTTCATCTCCAAGCAGATCATACGGTGGCAATGCAGTATCCATTGGCCAGAGGAGTGCCACCGAAACAGTGCATGGATACTGTCTGGCTAATGGATACTGCCTGGCCACCGAAAAATCTGCTTGGAGATTAGTCTGTCTCATCGTCTCCCCCAGTGAATGTTGTCTGAAAAATAAATTTTGTTCACTCACCGTTCCAAAGAAATGGCGGTCAGGGTCAGTATGGACGCCAGTGTGGTCACCACCCGGATGTAGTTCAGCAGCTTGCACATCACGCCCCCTAACGGCCAATACGACATGAACAGCTCGGCCGTCTTGAACGGGACGCAGATCAGCGACACCAACAGGTCCGCCACGGCCAGGCTCATGGTTAAGTAGTTCGTGGCCGTTTTTAAGCAACAGTAGCGAAGAACTGCGATGATGATCATGGCATTGCCGGTCACCCCGAAGGTAAACGTCATGGAGTAGGTCATGAGGGTGGGGATGGCGATTTCGGGGAAGTCGTACAGGATAGCCAGGGCGCCGACGTAGACAAAGGAAGATCGGTTCAACCCTGTCGCACTGCCGGTAAACTCAGGGACCTGGAACGGGAACGTGCTGTTGTTCCCTTGGTCGCTGAAGGAAGAGGTGTTTCCCTCAAGAGGTGGATCCCATCGTAGGCTGCTCATGGTGGATGCTTGCACTGGTTGCCGCGGTTGGTCTCACTTAAATCTACCCAGCTTGCCGAGAGAACATGCCTGGCGTGCGCACTTTTCTGTAGGTGACAGAATCCAGCTGAAACAATAAGGGTAGATGCCACCATGAGCGGAGGCTGAAGAAGGGGTTTATGCGAATCATTAAGATTCCTTTGCGATTCTTTCCAATGAAATTACTAAACCCACTTGATTTCGACTAGCAGAACTTTGCAGAAGATCTCTTTGCATTAGAATTTTCTCTGTTTCATTCTCTGAAAATCTCTAGAAATGGTATTTTCTTTCATAAGTTTAGTTGCTCGTAGCCCCAAGGTAAGTTGGTGGTGATAAGCGATCTGATGTGACAGTGTATGACCTATCAGGGCGATGTGTAACAGTTCTCAGCTGGTCCTGCCAGATTGCCGCCTGCTAACAACTTTTATCCTGGCAGTTCCACAAGTGATCCTTCCTAACTTCCTCGTAAATCACCCACTAAATGTCACTGCTAACTGTCTAGGGATATGCTGAGGACAACAGGATCGGTCTGTCAGGCTGGGGTCTGTGGTGTGATGTTCAGTCTGGATCAATCGTTCAGAGTTGACTGACCGTGCACTGGCCAAATTTCTAGTCTTCACCAGACTCTTTTGCAGGCTGAATAGTAGAAATCGGCCTTAAAAATGTTGGCCTGCATGCAGGCAAACTTGGACCTCTATGGCCGGTCAACTCCTCCGGCCAGCTACATTCTTTTCAGGCTAATTTCTACTACTAGTATTTATTCAGCCTGCAAAGGAGTCTGGTGGAGACTATCCTACTCCCTCCAACAATGGTTAGTAGGTCAGGAGCAAGGTCAGCTGTGTGGTTGTCTGGTATTCGAGAGTAGGCCAGCAGCGCTTGGGGCGTATTCAGGGATCAAATTTGAAATTTAACTGAAATTCGACTCAAATCTTATGGTAAACTAAATCTGGCCAGACAGCTCCTAAACTTTATCCAACCTTGGTTGGATGTCGGGTGGTCGTTTCTAAAAATGTGTCAGGGGCTTTAGACAGAGATGCGTCAAACATAGCATGCTGATTTATTGATACACTTGCACGTAGATGAATTCCTTTGTATCCCCTTGTTTGCATGTGCAGTTGTAGAAGACCTTATACTTTTCTTGTGTCAGTAAAGATTACTGTTTGATAATCCCCCCAGACACGGAAACCGCATCGTATTTCATAGCCGCACGTGCTCTGTCTGCTGATGTCTGGAGCCTTGTAGCCTTTAATGTTTCCCAAATAACTTAAGCTTTTACAAATGGGACAGAGGTAAAACAGACATCCTCTATTGAGTTGGAGCGTTATGTTTTTTTTATGGAGGGGCTTCGCTCGATCGGCTTGCGTTTTTATCTAAGCACACTAGGTGACCACTACTCGTACATGTGTGTAGTGCTTGAGACCTGAAATTTTCCCAAACTTGGCGCCGACGCAAGTTTTAGTCTCCTTACCGGTCGTTGCCATTTGAAACTATTGACGTCATACTCGAGCGTGTTGTAACTTTTTTTGAAGGCAAAAACTTTTAAAACGTGTAAAAAGCAACATTTGAATTGCAAATGCACGACAGGTGCTGACTGAGCGTTCTAGTGCAAGAATGCACTTAAAGTTTGCCGTTCTCCGATATGACATCGATAGTTTTTTTTCCAAAAGGCATCGACCGCATATACGGAACTTAGCGGCGCCTATGGCTTAACAAACGAGATCGAACAGTGTCTTTCATAAACTGTAAAGCTTTAGACAAAGCCAGGGCTTTCCCAGCTAGACAACTAGAGTGAGTTGAGCTTACTTAGTGACGTCAGTCCAGTTGGACACGAGCCTAAAATACTACGTGTACAGTACAGATGGTGTGAACAGATTGAATGTAAGTACTAGAGGATTTTGGAAGCGGGTAGCACAGGACGTCAAGGAATATAGTGTATCAAAAAGATTGGCCGGTTGTAAGCTGACAAGGCGCCACTTCCGTCGTCCCTGTAGCCCAGCTATGGTTACAGTTGTCCCTGCCTCAGTCCTTCGTATGGGCTAGTTTCCAAATCAAGTTTAGCAGTCAGGGCTATTGCAGGATTTGGTACACTGTTTTCTGATACCTCCCACTTCCTGTAACATTGGCCTCTAGCACCAAATGTTAGCCATCATAACAGGTTTGTCATCATCATCAAACAGTGTCTAAGTTAACTTTAGAAGCTGAAGGAGGAACCCCCCTCCCCCTGGCTGTCTCCAATATCCACTCTGCCGAAAGCTAGTCACACGTTATAACGTTAGAGTCAGGGGAACAGTGCACAGTCAGCCTACTCTCCAAACAGAGGTTTGGGCTTATTTTTGGCGTGTTTTTATTCTTTTTTATCGGAGTTTTTCTTTGGCACTGGAATTGTTTTCGCCCAAAATTCTAGTGCAAAAGAGAAACCCCGAGAAAACAGTCTAAAAACACGCCAAACATAACCCCAAACCCCTGCTTGGAGAGTACAGTCGGCCTTAAAAATGGCTCCCGATTAACCTGCTATGTAGTAGTAGTAGTAGTAAGCCATGATGTAGGATATACACTTGATTCCCCTTACATGTGCTGACTTGAGGTGGTTCCTGGTATGCTCGGTATGCTCCACCAGACGTCAAAGACTTAAACTCTGCGTCAGACGCGACTCAGTGTCCTTTCTTCCTGTCAGGAGGATCTGCTCAGATCGCTCGAATCCTCGTTAGAGCCTGTCCCAGTGCCGGAAACCACCTGCCGCCGTGTTCAGTCAGTCAGATACAGTTACTCATGCGGCACTTCAGCAGTCTGTTTGGATCATCGTAACACAGTCTGTGATTTGAGGGTTTGTTCCAATGCCCCGGCTGTGAGGACATCCTGTGCAAGATAGTCGTGCAAGTCTGCAAAAATACGGCTGTCTTCTTGCAGAAAAGTCTTTCGCTTCGGCTTATACAAATCCATCATTGTATATTCAGAGTTCAGGGCATCAATTGAGTACTCTGAGCCTATAATTATATCTGAATGCTCCGAAAGTTCACTAACGGATGCGTAAATGTTGATACAGTACCCCTTGTATTATTCTTGGCAGCGACGTAACTGATAAAGGATGCAAACGGTGCAGGTCACCTTGAGCTATGATCTCATTCTTGAAAGCCCGTGTCGTAGACAACACGATTCTAGTATTTGGTTTCGGCAGGGTGGGCCACTTGCACAACGAGTTAGAAACAGCTTTTGCGCTACGCAGACATCGTTTTTAGAGGAATTGTAATTTAAAAATGAATTTACATACCTTTTCCCAATTCGTCTGAGTCTGATTTACGAAATGGATGTCAATGGTGCCAGTAAGGCGTGGTCGTTGTTCCCGTCTTTTCGTTGTTATTTGAAATTAGTCGACGTTCTGGCGCCGAATATTGCTTTTCCTCCAGATAAAACATGTCTATTAATTTCTTAGATTTTGCCCAGGGTTACAAGATTGTATCAGTTTCACCATAGTATAAAATAAACTGTCCGTTCTTGAACTTGGCGATACGAGTTCCCAAGATAGTTCGGTACGACCCTCATACAAGGTTCGCCGGCAAGGTCAAATGTTTGACCTTGCCAGTGATTTCCCAGGATAGTTCAGCTCCGTCTAGAAATTTTAGAGCGACCTTGCACGGCCTTGGGATAAAGATGGCTGCGTAGTTTTATGAGTTCGAATAGAAACAAGTTATGTAAGTCTCTAATGCATAACTGGGCGTTACAGTAGAACTTCAGAGTGACCTAACGTGGCCTTACAAGTTAGGTCGATAAAGACTTGAATGTAAATCAGTTGTGTAAGTCTCTAATGTTTAACTGAGCGTTGTCTACGAAGTTATATAATTACACCTTGCATGGCCTTACAGGTTATACTTAAGAACGGATGGGTAGGTCGATGAAGATTTGAATGCAAACCAGTCATGTAACTCTCCTATGTGTAACTGAGTGTTGTCTCCGAAGTTAATAACACACCTTGCATGGCCTGAAAGATTATACTCAAGAACAGATGAGTAGTCTGATGAATACTTGAATACATACTAGTTATATAAGCCTATAATAAATAATTGAGCGTTGTTTCCGAAGTTAAGATCACCCATTGTATGACCCGAAAGGTTATGGCTAAGAATGGATAAGGCTATTGATGATGACCAGAATAGAAATTAGATACATAAGTCTCTAATAAATAATTGAGTGTTCGAAGTTCACAGCGCATGTTAGCATGACCTTACAGTATACATGTAAGAATGGATGAATTGGTCCATGGTTAGTTGAATAGGAAGCCAGCTATGCAAGTCTGTAATAAATAACTAAGAGTGATCTGTAAGCCCTTATATTATAAGAATGGATGAGTAGGTCTACGGTTAGCTGAATACAAACCAGTTATGTAAGTCTCTAATGAATAACTGAGCGTCATTACATGTATAGTAGAACTTCAGAGTGATTTGGGGGCCTTTTTATCGATCTTTTTTTGTACTGGTACCTTTTTTGTGAGCCCAAACCTCTGCTTGAAGAGTACATTTGGTTGACATTCTGCAGGTTGCCTTACCAGAACTTTGCTAATAGCTCCAAATACGCGTACGGATGGTTACCGAATTACCTGAAATCACGCTCGCGGTTTGCAGATATCTCAGCTAATCATTAAAAGACATTCAGGCACGACGGGCGTTTTAGGAAACGGTTATCCCACATTAGAGCGAGTTAAGAATCTATCAGATACCGATCAAGTCCACGGGAAGGCGTTGAACAATTTCATGAATTGGACTAATGGGTTAGATGTCTGTTATCACGGGGGAAAACGCTCTTAATTGGACTGAATAGCGTCAAACTAGCCACTTTTGAGGAAATCAGAAAACTTTTAAAGAGAAGGCGAGCAATGTTAATAAGGCATAGCTGCCGTGCCACGCATGCTAAAAGTGTTGCAATGTGTAGATTCTTTATTGAGTTAACAAAAATTACAGGGACTTTTGTATATTCTACTACATCTAAAG